GGAGCAACAGTTACGGTGCATGGATTGCGCTATCGAGAGATGATTATTGATTTATTTTATCGCCTCAATGGAATGGTATTGATCTGTACAACGTCTACTTTCAAAAAGAAAGTAAAGAAACCATCCGTCTTATAAGGGATGGATCGTGTTAAACCAAAAGTAGCCGGCGATTTTTCATACAGACGATATTTTCTTTTAATATGGAGCCCACAAAAAAACACGCTCGGGATTTTTAACTCAAAAATAAGCCACGTTCAGACCGGCCAAGTGAAGTTGTTGAAGCCCATGAAAGGAATAAAAAAGTTATTTTCTACTAAAAAAAAACGTCCGCAATAGCTTAAAGTAAATGATAGTTTCCCGTTTTTTTTTTTTTTGCATAAGCGGCCATTAAAATATAACAAGCAAGTATAGTATTTTTTTCTAAATAAATTTTACGATTTAATTAAACGATATCCATCAGTTTTACAATATAAATGCATTTACAACAATGGATGGGTGAAGCTACGGACGGTTGCGACTGGCAGCTGTAAAATTCCAGGAATTGAGTGACAAAACCGGTCTGTTTAGTTTAGTCTGATGGCGTTGCATGGGGCAAAATTAAAATAAAACGTATAAAAAAATATGTATTAAATTCAAAATTAAATGCTGGCGAATGCAACACCCAACCGGCAACAACTTGTAAGTGACGAATACGAATTTTAATTAATTGATTAATTAAATTTAATTTATGCACTTTGAGATAGTTTGTGTGCAAAAATTGCAGTTCGTGTAATTTGTGGAAATTATCAATATTTAAAAATTTACTCTAAAAATATACTCTATGCCAGCTATTAAATTATGACGCCGCGAATTTCAAAGTTAATCAATTTCCAAAAAAATCTTTAAATACAAGAAAGAATTGGTTACGCCTTTGATGCTCTGCATGTTACATATCTCCTTTTCGAAACTAGAAAGGCCATCATCACCACCCAGTCAGCCAGTCGACGCTACGCAGAGAAGGTATCTATCTATAAACATGCTAAAGCAGCGATTTGTGTTGTAGAAAATTTCCATTCAACATGCTGCGCATGCTAACAAACAGCCCAGACCACCACAGTGATGAAAAAAAAAAAACAACACAAAAAAAAAAACTAAGCCAAATTAATAATAATAGTGAAGTTGCACGATAGCTGCAGGCGGATGCAGCTGCAAAATGCAGCAAATCTGTGGACGCCTTCATTCATGCTTGATGCAGCAAAGGTGAATTGAGGCGAGCTGGTTAGCGAATACTGCAATTGCGAAAATTAAATGCTATCTGAAGAAAAACTTAAAGTTGCACCACAATGTTTGAATTTTAGAAAGTTGCGAACGAGCGTCTCAACCACTCACAACCAGCCTACGACAAGCGCTGCTAACACAATTGGCTAGAAAATTTGAATAGACAGCAAGCAAGCGAGGGGGAGATAAAAACTACGAAACTGAATGCATGTCGCCATGTAAGAGTTAAAAAAAAAATGTTGCAAGAGTCATGCCACCAAATAAACGCTGATAAAGTGTAACATTTAAGATTTCGAGGACTGATAATCGTGAAGTACGAGTATATGTAAATGTGCCATGCCTAAGATGAAAGGTAATAATTTTGCATGGCCTTTGGCTGAAAAAATTTTCACCGAAGTTACAAATTTTATATCACCGCTGTTGGTAGATACAATTATTTACATATGTATGTAAGTACATATGAAAATCTCACAGCGACTGCCAAAGAAAAAAATTGACAATTAAATACATTTAACATAATAAAAGACGCGAGCAACAAACGCAATGTACTGTGGTAATGCCATAATAAATCCAACATTTGCATTAACTGACATTTGAAGCTGTCTACGCGTCTTTTAAGACTCTGTAAAGGTAGGACATGCAACGACGAAACCTCGAGTTTTGACACCGGCATAGAAATAAATCACTTAAATGTTGTAGCTCGCTATTGCAAATGACATGCCAACGGTCCAGCCGCACGCCACCGTTTTTCATTCCAATGCACTTTTATACGGCAGCAGTTACCTATGTATTTGCGTTGGTGTGGCTGCGCACTTATGTATGTAAGTTAAAAAGGCGGAAATCTTGTTTGAAAGATTAAAATATGAATGATTAATCCGGAGTCAAGGAAAAGCGCAAGACATTAACAAAAAATTATTCAATGAAATTAAAAAAAAAAATTAAATCTAAAAAAAAAAATATATGTAAAAAAAGATTAAATCTAAAAAAAAAAAAATTTAAAAAAAATTAAATGTAAAAAAAAAATTTATAAAATGTAAAAAAGAATAAATGTATAAAAAAAGAAAAAATTAAATCTAAAAAAAAAAAATAAGTCTAAAAAAATTTAAATGTTAAAAAAATGACATTAACTGAAATAAAAAAGAAAGATTAAATGAAATTAAAAAAAAAAAAATTAAATGTAAAAAAAGTTTTAAATGAGATTTAAAACAAAAAATATATATTAAATGAAAAAAAAATTGAAAAACATTTAAAACAAAAAATATTGAACGAATTGAAAATAAAACAAAATATTTAATGAAATGTATATAAAATTATTAGATGTAAAAAAAATCTTAAATGAATTGTAAGCAAAAATTATTAAATGTAAAAAAATATTAAATGAGATGTAAAACAAGAAAAAATATTTTAAATGCATAAAAAAAGATTAAATGAAATGTAAAAAAAAGTATTAAATGTAAAAACAAATATTAAATGAAATTTAAAACAAAAAATATATTAAATTAAATAAAAAAGATTAAATTAAATATAAACAAAAAATTTTAAAATTAAAAAAAATATTAAATGAATGTAAACAAAGGAAATAAAATAGTTTAATATATAGTTTTATTTATGTATATGTATATATTAATATATATATATATATATAAATCTTCCATCGAAAGAGGTTTGCTTTCAGTGTTTTGAAGTATTCAATTTTAAACTTAAAACATAATGCTCATTTCCTCTTAAAACGTTGTAAATAAAGATTTTACTAAGGATTATAATTTTTAATTAAAAAAGTTTAAATCATTATTACTTCGATTAAAATATCTTCTCTCAAATTCAATCATTTCGTGTGATTTTAAGTTTTTCAATCATATTTGATAGTTATTTTTTTGATTTCAATTTCTTTTTTTATATAAAATACAGTAGAATTTTGGAAAAGTTAACCGAAATGTCCCAAGGGTAATTTACTTTTTCGAATAATTTACATTTGCAATTACAATAAATATGGGTTTTAAGAATTTATGTAATGACATAGTTTTTATCATTGCATAAATCATCTTACATTTAATTTGTACTGAATGGTTTAAAGAAATAATCGATACTTGTTTTTTTTTTTGTACTAGTTCTGTACAATTTTTGAGCGCATTTTGACAAGTTCTACCACTTGTTTGTATCCTTATTGTTTCCGTACCACTTTATCAATATATTAAAGCTTTTAACTGCTTCCGAGAAACTCATTTTTGGTTGTTGAGTATCTTGCTCGGTAATAGATTCGTTACTATCGCTACCAGACTCTTCCTCGCGTTTATAAGAACAGATTGTGGTAATTCATTCCGTACTGATTTAAGGATCAAAATGGTATCACGAATCGTACGTCATTGTCAATCGGAACATTTTGAACAATTCACATGCTTAAAAAAGTTAACTGAAAAGTTTACTTTTTAGAACATTACGTGGACGTTAAAATTCGGTTAACTCCACCGAGCTTTTTACCTTTTTGTGAGTTAACTTTACCTCTACTCTTCTACTGTATCTTATCAGATTTTGTGATAAAATTTGTTAGTAACTTTATGGATTTCATTTTTCTGATCAAGAATGATTGTTTTCTGGAATTTAGATTTTGCCATCGATATTATTTGCTCATATTTCTCAGGCGGCAGTAGGCCAATGTACTTATCAGAAAAGATACAAACAAATTTATGGTTGTCATGAAATCAGTATCCTATAACAGCTTGAATATAATAGGTGCATTTCACTTGTTGGGTTAATAATTTCAAATATTCAAAACTGTTATATTTATACACAAAACAAAAAAAAAAAAAAAAAAAAAAAAAAAATACTTGCCGCTAAGAAGATTCATTCTCAAGTTATGGAACTTTAAATAGGGATAATTTGTTTTTTTTTTTCACCTTCTTTACGTTGGAGAATGATAATAGCCGGACTTTTAGGAAGGTATGCCACAAAAAATAAAAAAAACTTTTTTTTACACCAAAAAACGTCAAAGCCAATACCGATGCGTCATAATTCTTGAAAACAGTACTGTAAAGCACTGGAAGAAACGAAGTTTAACCTCTTCGAATCGGATAGTATGTACCATATGAGACGCAAATTTGGCCAAAGGTACAAAACTGAATACAGACTGCCTATTGTCAGACAATCAGTAGATGCTGGCTGATTCACCTATGACCGAACGAAATATTTGACTCTTATTGATGGTCGGGTGCATGGAGATGTCTATATTTCAATTATATTTAACTCCACTCATGGAAGGGTAGCATTTTATATGAACAAACGTTTTATATCAGGATGATTCTGCGCCATGTCACGGATAGCACAATCTCACAAGTCTTTTGTTAAGATTTCAAATTAAATTTTGTTTAAATTTCAAATCAAATAAACAATCGTTTATTCCTTATTTGTTGCAGGTAATAGAATTTTCAAATAAAATAAAAACACACACCAATTGGATACCCCAAACATAATCCCAATTGAGAACCTCTGGTCCTAGAAAATGGGCATTTGGTGATTAAATATTAAATCTGTTTAGAATTAATTGTTGAAAGATCTTATAATAAGGAAAAACTGACAGTAAAACGTTTGTAGAAAAACTAGCTAGAATTAGTATAATTTCTAGTGTTATTTCTCTGAAAACCATTTTTGTATTTTCTAACTCTTTTTTTTTTTTTACTTATGAAACGAGTTCAAGTAAGCATTATTAATTTCCTTTTTATAATAAATATATTTATATCTTAACTTACCAGCAACAACGGAATCATGTTTTATTGTACGTCGCACAATCATAATAGCATCGTGTAATGAACGTTCGGTTTCTTCAAGGAATTGTTCCGCACCTCCGCGCAATATCAAAGTACATGTTTCGGCATTGGGGCAACCTTGATGTAAACAAATCACAAAATAAGTTGGACAATTTTAGTTAATAGAAGTATTTCGAATTTACCTTGGAAGATGTTGAAACGCTCGCCACCTACTTGACGTTCTTCAAAGTAATCACAATGACCCAATACACTGGCATTAATATCATTGGCTGTGGTCATTACTGCACCACCGCAAGCCTTCATTGTACGTTTCAAATCCTCCTCAGGCACACGACCGGCACAGAACATATCACGATCTGCGAAATACTGCGTAGCAACATCCCCAATTGGAAGTTTGGATAATACAACATTAGCACCAGATTCATGGATCTTGGCCAACTTATTGTATAGAATTTGCCATTCGGCATCAACCACTTTTTGGTATTCTTTAACGTTATCAACACGAATTTCGGCGTTGTCGCGTTCTGCCTTCAATTCCAATTCAATGTTTAGCAAGGCAATTTTACAATTTTTATATGATTTTGGTGCCATTTCAAAACCGGCATAAGAGAAGGTCTTCTTAAAAGCTACACCAGAGACAAGTTCTGATTCTTCTAGCGAACCACCTGTTACCTTCTTGATGCCAATCATATTCAATGGTAGCAAGTCATCTAAAGAAAGCACTGCGTCAACAACCATTTTCGAAAAGAAGTCCTTCTGTTGATGAATCAATTTTGAAGACATTGCTGTGGCAGCGCACTTTTCAAGCAAAGCACGTTGTTGTTCCTTGGATTGTGCTTCCACACGAACAGCCATTTCGTTGATTTTAGTCATACACAATTGCAAGGCTTTACGAATCGCCTTAATAATAATGCGGGCATGTACACCTTCTTCAACAAATGGTTTCACTTGTTTCAGGATTTCACCAGCCAAAAGCACCACTGAAGTAGTACCATCGCCAACCTATTGGGCAAAAAAAGTGAGTTTCACATCAATGAGATAAAGTATTATCATTTACCTCTGAATCTTGAGACTTAGCAATATCCACCAACGTTTTGGCAGCTGGATGTACGATATCCAAAAGCTTCATAATCGTGGCGCCATCATTTGAAATTGTCGCCTTACCGCTGGAATCAACAATTAGCTTATCCATACCACGCGGACCCAATGTGGTGCGCACAGCGTCCACAATAGATTGGCAGGCATTTATGTTGGAAATTAACTGCGGTTTGCCCTGTGAAGTGTCGGTACCTTCCTTCAAAAGCACGATTTGTGGTTGCTGTAATTGAAGTATTAAAATTAAATTTGAGTTAAGATTTTAGGAAGCGCATGACTCAAATGTTTTGTATGGGTGTTGTCGTTGAGCAAAGCATGCCGCACCACACAACTACAAGCGTATACAACTGCCTTCTAGTAATGCATGCGAGAAGTTTCTTTAGAGGTTATGTGCACTATGGTTTTCTTTATAATTTTTGGAATTATTGTACTAACACAAAATATGGAAAAAGATTATTACTTCTTTGGAAGTTTTAAAATTAATTGCAGTGGGTATTTCAAATACTTTATGCTTAAACAAAATAACTTCACTCCAGTTGGTCAGGTAGCAATGAATAGAAACGGCGTCCTCAACTAGACACACCGATAACACAATAATTTAACACCTTCACAACAAAAAAAAATTAACAGAACTAGAATTTCAGCATTTTCTTACCATATTTAATTAAGTGCTTTACAGTTTAGCAGACTATTCAGAAAATATTTATTAAATTAGCAACAGCGGTTTCTCACGCGGCGAGGAAGTTTCAAAGATGAGTAACAAAACGTTTGTCAGCTGTAAATGTGTTTGAAGTGCGAAAGGGACAGCTCGAGTCAGCGTATTAACAACCAGAGCTGCCAAGAGCAATGGTTAATATACACAGTGTTGTATTGGAACATAAGAGGTTATAAAAATGAAAACTTATTCAATCGGTAAAATTTAAACCCTAAAGGAATTGGATGAATTTTCTTTTAATTAATGTTAATTAAATGTTAATGGAGGAATTTAGACATTTAACCTTGACCGGTTTTCGAACTTTTGCAAAATTTTGATCGATTTGGGGTAATTTTCTTGGCCCATATAGAGCAGTACAACAACTATAACTTTACGAATGTTGGCTTTCAACTGCTCAGGAATTTAAGTCTTAGCCTTAAGAAAAAAGTCCACCGTCCGATCCCGGCGGCCAATTGAAATCGCCAAGACGAGGGATTAAACACCGAAGAAATTTCTCTCGGAATAAAGCCATATTCTCTCATGTTGCGCCATCTGGTTGAATCCACATTTTGTCCTAGTCGTGTTCTTCACTTGCATACCATAAAGAACATAACACCCTAATACCCCGAATTGAAGAATTAAGATCCAATCACATTTCCGGTCCAAAAAGATTACCTGAGAGTTAGTTTTTCCTGGATGTCATGAATCCTCTGCACTTATTTGACAAGCCTCGTGGCCTAAATACGACAATTGCAATTTGCTCTCTTATGTATCCACCGGGTGAGAAATATTTCCAGGTGATGAAAAGATTTTTTAAAAAAATTGCCGTCGGCTGTTTGTTTTTCAAGCACCCAGTCGACCTATGTACGACCTTGCGAATGGTCAACTGGCTTTAGTTCTTGCGTGAGCTGGACTTTATATGGATTTAGGTGCAAGTTCAAGGGCAAAATGTGCCATAAGTAAGTCCCAGCTCTTGAGAACATCGTGAAGTAGACACATTAGGATTTTCGACTACATATTCACTTATTATTCGACTTTCCTGCCATGGACACCGCTTACGCGATTATAGCCGAATGTATAACATTACTCCATTCATTTCTTACTTTCGCTGTTTAGCTCCAATTGGAAATACCAAGTTCAGCTAGATCCTTCTTAACCTGGTCTTTCCAAAGGAGTGGAGGTCTTCCTCTTCCTCTGCTTTCACAGGCAAGTATTGAGTCGAATTCTTTCAAAGCTGGATTATTCTTTTCTATCCGGACCACATGACCAAGCCAGCACAGCCACTATTTCTTGATGCGCTGAACTATGTCATTGTCGCCTTATGCATATCTCATACAATTCTTTGTTCCATCGACTGCGATATTCACCGTTCTCAACTCGTAGAAGACCATAAGTCTTACGCAAAACCTTTCTCTCGAAAACTCTTAACGCCAACTCATCAGATGTTGTCATCGTCCATGCCTTTGCACCATATAGCAGAACGAGAATGATGGTTTGCTTTTGGTTAGTCAAAGGAGGACTTTGCTTTCCAATTGTCTACTCGTGAACTTTACTCGAAAAGTATGAAACCAAGCTGCAAATCGTCGTTAGAACGATTAGAGGAACAGTTTTTGAACCAGTAAAAATAATGACGAGTATAAGGTGCAACCATAAGCTAGACTAACTTATAAGGTTACTACAAATTTTATCAAAACCCTGCGATCAAGATATCTCGACCATATAAAGAGAATGAAGAACAAGAGAGCGCAGTAGAAACTTGTAGCAAGCACCACAAAAGCAATGGAAAGACCGCGAAAAAGATGGTTTGATAAGCTCAAGGAAGACATGAAGATGTTTGGTGCAAAAAAATTGGAAGGAAACCGCGAATTCCCAATACTTCCGAAGGTCACATGTGTATCAGCCCAAAGCTCTCAATGGGTTTATAGTGCCCAAAAGATGATAATGAACTAATAATTTTACCAAATTGTATCATAAATATGTATATTTCATTTAAGTAGATCGTTCCAATTGCAGGAAAAACATGAATTTCAGGTAAATCGAAGCATAAATAAGATTTTGATCCACTTCCCGTCATTTTTACGTCCAATTCACAAACCTACTGAATCTATGTTCATCAACAACGTAATGTCTTTGCTGATTGGATCTTCGAAATGATCCGGAATTCCATCGAAAAGTCGTCTTGACTAATGAGGCCCATTTCTACCACGGAGGGTATATCTCTACAGAAACTGTCGCATCTAGGGCTTGTAAAACACACATTTTTTTATTTTTGTTGGAACGTGTAACAGTTTGGTGCGGCTTTGGGTCCGGAGAAGTCATTGGACCTTACTCTTTCTGACACTGGATTGCGCTATCGAGAGATGATTAGTGATTTTTCATGGCCGGTATCGGATTGTATTGATCTGGACCACATTTACTTTCAACATAGACCGTCTCCTTTATGACACACAAACAATGAAATCTTCGACTGGTTTAAGGGAAAAATTTTTGGATCGTGCTATATCTCGCAGAGGTGAGTGATCGCAATTAGCCACCGAAATCTTTCGATTTAACTCCTTGCGATTTCTCCCTTTTGGGTCACGTGAAAGGTAAGATCTACGCCAACAGTCCAACGTCGATTCAATACCTCAAAGCAGTTTTATATACATAAATACATAAACATATATGGATTTGTTTATTGGCATATACATAAGTATATATAGTTTGAACATACAACATATTTGTATATACACATATATATATTATATATATGCACATATGTATTCACTATATTCCATATTTCATTATTTCTTGAAAACGTATGGCATAATTATTCTCTTTGCAAATTCACACATAATTTCGTTAGAATTAATTACTTCACAGTTCCCATTTTCGTAGCTATTAAAATTAAATCATTCGAAAGTTGTTGTGATTCCACATATATACGTTGTTAACGTGTTTGTTTTTGTTGGCGATGTTGAAGCCAAAAGCCAGAAGTGACCGCTTTAACTGTCGACGGCTACTATGCGTTTGGCAGCGCCAGCGGTTTTGTTGTTATTGTTGATTCACATCGGGAAAACTGCGCCCGCCGCTTGACTGCGTGTCCGAATGCGTAGTACAACATGTCGTATGCGTAACACTATTTTTAGCTGCAACAAATTTCGACGAAGCAAATAAGCGAGACGGCAGAGCAGCAGATGCGTACGCAATGATCACACATCCACACATCTACGCATACATACGTACACACAAACAGACATATGCAACTTTATATTACGTCTCTTCGTATGTATATATTTTGATTTCATTGCGTTGCATTCTTTTGTGGAGCCCAGAATGTGGGCAAGCGGCAAAACAAAACAAACAAAAAAAAAAAAAAAACACATTCTCGACGCGTGCAAGCGAAGTGGAAGGGGTGCTGCAGTGGCGCGATCACACAGCGGACATGGACATCTTCGTTTGACTTTAGTTTGCCCACACAACTCGAACGAGTCAGTTGTCAATGGGAATGAGGAAATCGAAATGCGAAGCGGGGAAAAGTGCAAGGAAGGAAGGAAGAAAGAAAGGCATTTTTCAAAAGCAAACAACAAGCAAGGCAGAAAACTGAAGTTAAACTGAAAGTAACGAAAATTCTAAATCTAATTCTGTAATATTGAATTGGAAATTTAGATGTGGACAAGTGTGAAAAATCCAACAACAAAAAACAGAAAAAAAAAACACTCGAGCTAAGCAAATAATCCTTAAAATATTTTTAAAGATATTTTTTGCGAATTGAAATGAGTTTGGGCTAAAATTGGAATTGGTGAATTATACAAAAAAAAAAAAAAAAAAAAAAATTATAATAAAAAGATCACTTAACGGTGCACATATGCTCAAGTGAAGTTTCGAATTGGTGAATTTGAATTTGAAAAAGTTGTTTCAGTGACCGGCGCAGTGTTATTACGGTAAAGTCGTGACAATTAGTGCGTTTGAAAGTATAATTTTATTTTCAATGAATAATTAATAAAAAGTAGTGTGAATGTAGTGTTTCGTGTGAAATCAGAAAAGTGATTACATATTTTTTTACTCAAAAATTAATTATTAATATTTATATAACGGTACAAATATTGCATACTTTTGAATCAAAAGTGTAAAAAACACAACATACATTTTATATACATAAATGCAAGAAAGTGATTGAAAGAAAGTGAGAAAACGAGTGAGAGTGAGAGAGAGAAAAAAAGACTGTTAACCAGCAAAAAGTGAATAAACGAATTTAAAAAAAAACGATAACTTTCGAAAAATACATTTTACGTAAGTATTACAACTTGTATTTTTTTTTGTTTTGAAAATTTCTAATTTAATTTTTTTCTTCAGGAAATATTTTACAAAATTTATATTTAAAGCATTTAAAAAAAGAAACTTAATCATATTTTAAATTTTCAAAAAATAAAATCTGCTTTTACTAAACAATTTTTATATCTCTACATGAAATTGAAATGTTTTAAGCTTAAAAGTACTTTAAAGTTAACAAAAAATAAAGAAAAAATTAATAAATATAAAATAAAAATGCTGAATGAGAAAATAATGCTCATTTAGGAGTACCACATACATATATATGTTTTAAATTATTAGGAAATATTTTATATTGTGAAAATTCTCGTTTTCCTTGTTGCACTCGACATTTTAGCTTCTTTTTTATTGCTTATTAATAAGCACTTTTTGGCTGCCAAAACTATTTAACCCAATTCTGTTCTATATGTACCGCTCGCACAGTTTGTGGCCAAAATCTTTTTTTTCACAGATCCTAAAATAACATATTTTTGATCAGCACACACATATTGATATACGTTGGATCCAACTTCTATGTTCTTCTTCTTCTTCTTCTTCTTCTTCAGTGGCGTCGGCACTGCTAAAGCGATTATAGCCGAATTAACAATACCGGATCATTCATACCTTCTTTTCGCTGTTTGGCGCCAATTAGAAATATCAAGTGAAACCAGATCCCTCTCCATTTGATCCTTCCAATGGAGTGGATATCTTCCTCTTCTTTTGCTTCCACCGGTACGTACTGCTGCGAATTAATCAGCGTAACCACTGGTCTCAATCCATGTCGCCGTATAGCTCCACGACTCATCGTTCGTCGTTCCCAACTTGTAGAGGACCATAAGTCTTACGCAACAATTTTTTCTCGAAAGCTTCTAACGCCGACTCGTCAGTTGTTGTCCTCGTCCACGCCTTTGCACTATATAGAAAGATGGGAATGATGAGGGACTTGTAGAGTTTGGTAATCGTTCGTCGAGAGAGGAGCTTACTTTTCAATTGCCTACTAAGTCCAAAGTAGCAGCTGTTGGCAAGATGCGCTGGATTTCAAGGCTGACATGATTATTGGTGTTAATGTTGGTCTCCAGGTAGACAGTATTATCTACGGCCTCACGGTTATGACTGTCGCTTCTCTTCCTTTTGAAGTCTGGGGAAAGCAGAATTTACAGCGCAGTCGTTAAGGCCAATTCAATGCTACATTCCAGAAATCTCCATAGCGATATTTTTTTTATTTTATACAAAGCTTTTATGTTTTCAGGATAGTTTTCAAATGTTCCAGCTCTCCGAGTGTAAGAGGTCTACCTAAGTAAAACACATTTTTTTTTGCCAAAATTCCTTTTTTTATTCAACAGAGTTCCTTCATACTGAGACGCCGATTATAGCGACCCTACAAATATTGGATCCCATTTTTGTAGTATGATATATCTTTTGCTTAAAAATAGACCCCATTTTCGGCGGTCATCTCTTCATTCGGCGAAAATTTCCTGACTGGGTGCATTCTTTAGGGATCTGAGAGCAAGAAATAAGACGCTGGGGGCTAGAGCTGAATAATATAGGGGATTCGGCAGCACTTCGAAGTCTGATTCATGTATTTTTGACATTGTTTTCACGGATATGTGACACCGGGACATACCCAAATATTCGTGAATGATAGGATTTATATGTCAGTTGATATCTTTAGAGCGGTTGCTATTTTCTATATCTTCAATTTATTGCCATTCAAAATCATTTTCGGAATTTTTTTGAAGCTTTCATGGGTAACAACTTCTCTTGGGCATCCAAGGCGTTCACCGTCTTTGGTGTTCATTTCACGACGCCTAAACTTAGCATACCAATCCTTTAATGGTTGATTTTCCTCATTATCAAGCCAAGTTTTCAGTTCAGAATGCTATAATTTGCAACATTTATGTGACAGCCAATTAACCTGCTATTCGGAGGCGGCTTAGTACAAACTGTTGATCTCCCCAGAAACCGGAAAAACATCGAGACATACATCGCGATAAGAGGGAGTTCGGTCTCAAATCCCTTCAGCGGGTTTTTTAACTTGTGCTACTTGGTTTAAATGTGATTGGCTATCTTTCAATTGAGGATGAATGCTTCTTGAATCTTCATTATTATTTGGTCGATATAATCACCTATCAGAGTCGCTAATTCGAGAAACCATGGATCGGCCTCAGATAGGCTGTACATTGCGCATTGAAGACACTGTTTTTCCTGCAAAGCAGAGTATCGGAGAAGATCCCTATGACAATCTACTTTATGACAGATTTGACTGAAGGATCAGGGTTTGCGACCGTACAAAATCCAACTCGTGCAAGAATGATTGAAACCGAACATCCATTCACCGCGTCGCCCGTTCGCTGAATAAGCCCAAAACGAGATGGTCTTCCATATCGAAATTAATTTTGTACAGCGATGTAGTTCGTTTTTGGTTGAATGGTTATGGCATTTAGACTGTTGGTAATTCACAAGCCACTATTGAGACGCCGTTGCAGCCTCAGAAAGTCACTGGTTGGTATGCGCTCTGAGCAGTTGGAATTATTGGTCTATTTTTCTTTAAAAATTTAGCCGACTATAATATTACAGTCAGTGGGGAACGCCAGTGAGCCGTGATTAATGCATTGTTCGCAACTGTATTGGGAAGATATTCATGTGAACGGCCTTTGGCTCCAACAAGGTGGCTTTACATGCCATACAGCTATCCTAGCAATCAATTTATTGAAGGAAACATTCGGTGAGCGCATTATCTCGTTCAAAATCGTTCGAATTTTTGTGAGGTTATGTGCAGCCAATTTTCTACGCAGCTAAGCACGAGACGATTGACGCCTTGTCGGAGGCAATAGCTGCAAAAAATGGTCTAAATATGTGCCTCTCGCATGGAATTTATTTAAATAAGCTGCGGCGGTCACTTACATCAACATCAATCGTTTTTAGAACAAAGTAGCAAACCCTCATCTTTATATTGAAGCAGATTTTTGGTTATACGCGTTTTCTCTCTTTTTGAAAACCACATGTCCGAAGAAAAAAACACCCTTAAAAGCATAAGGCTGGTGAGTGATTACATTGCAAAGGTAAAAGTAAGAGAAAATAACAAACAGAAATAGTTTCAATGAAAAAACCATAAACACACCTCAAGTTGGATAAATAAATACAAATTTTCAGGAAGAGAATGGAAAATACAAAAATGAGAAAAAGCCAATTTTAAGCACAACAGAAATGGGAAACTCAGAAAAGAAAATAAACAAAGAGGAAAAAATTCTCCTGCATTTTTCCGACGAGTCGGCACCGCAGCGCACGAACTTATTTGTCGTGGTCAGCGTGAAAATGTGTGAAAAACCAACCAAAACAAACTGATTAGCAACAACAATATCAAAAGCTTTATTATTAACAAACACAGCATTGGTATGTATAAAGGTATACGAGTGCATGTTTTTGGTTTAATAATATTTTGTGAAGACGCTGGCGAACTAATGTCCATTTCGAACTGACCGCCTGGCAAACACGTCGAGCAAATTTAAAAATACTCGCTTCGAAAATCGAAAGAATTTCGGCGGAATGTCAGAAAGCTTTAGCTTTAGAACAACACACACACACACGAGCATACATATCTAGCAACTGCTTGACCAACGCAAACATATGGACAGAACTTTAATAATTTGAGCTTTGCGCTTGTCATTTCATAAAGAAACCAAACAACAAAACTACCAGCTGTTGCCTGTAGTGTAGCGAAGCAAAGCCGCTGCTGGCATAGAGCTGAGAGGCAAAAGCGTTTTTGATGACGCGCTAAAGTTGCGAACAACCAGCAGTAAGAAGCGTGCAAAGCTCGACCGGCTGCGTTAGTCAATCGGTGTCCGACCGAAACGAAAGATCTCATAAATATATATTGGCTAAGGAAAATTCTACGAAAAATTCGTCAGCATTTCCGCAAGCGCCATTATTATTTTAAATATACATATATATAAAATATAAGAAATAGTGGAAAATCGAAAAATTTAAACGAATAAGCAAAACGGAAAATTTTAAATATAAAAAAAACAAAGGGCTGACCAACGAACATAAAGAAAAATAATAAGATTAAAACAAAAGTAATTGAATAAAAAATTATGTGGAAGGAAATACAAAACTAAACGACCATAGCAACTTTAAGCCACTACAACGAAACGAAAAGAAAGCAACTTAACGGTATTTGTATCATAGTAAATGTCAATAAACGAGTAAATGATTAATCGAATATACAAGCATACATGCATATATAGAGAAATATAAAAAGTGTTCATTAACTGACAAACCAGATTAAAAAAATATATATATATATTAATTTACTGTTATCAAGTTTAATACAAAACGACCTAACAGTCCATGTACATACATATAATATATTGCAAAAAAAAATATATTTTCAATTGACACGCATACACACACATATATAGCAAGCCCAAGTCCTTTACACTACACAGTAAAACATTGCGACTAATTGAGTAAATTTATAAAGTGACGTCACTTCCGTTTTAAGCAAGTAGAGAAAATTTAGCGAAAATTGCATGTGCGCGTAGAATTTTTCGTACCCTGTAAAAAAAAATTAATAAATAAAAAAAATACTGCACCAATTTCTACCAAGCGAAAGTAGAGAAACAAGAAAACGAGTTTGAGAACTTAGCGACAAAAGCGAAAGAAAAAAATAATTGTATTGTAGAGCAGAAATAAGGAAACTTCGTGAAAAGGGTGTCGAAAGCACACGCATTGCCTGAAGTCAAGCCTTACTATACATGCATACATACAAACAAACGTAAATAAAAGTGCGACAAGTGCAACGTAACGACGTAAAACAAAGTGCCTTAACCAATCATACATAGAAACACAGCGAGCGAGTGGTTTGCCGAGAAGCTCGAAAAGCTGAAGAGCTTAAGAGACGAGACGTGTAATTTGTATAAGGATTTATAAAGTTTTGGTATGTACGATATGTAAATCAAAAAATAAAAAAATAAAAAAATAATCTCTTAGAGAATTTTATATTATGATTTCTCTCAGTGCATTAATTTAACACAATTTTCATTTGCTGCCATTTCGTTCACTCAAAATTCATTATACCAAGCAAAACAATGCATATTTCACAATTATTATAATATACATATCATATAAAATTTTCATAAATTATGGCACACAACCAAAATAGCCATATGATCATCCATGCTGCCACGCTCCGAACGAATTCTAACGGATGTATTGTGTTTACATGTGGAGAGCTTTCAGTGTTGAGCAACGTTGCAGGGTCGGGGGAAAAAAACTGAAATGCTTTGTGCATAAAAAATTTCTAAAAATTCATCAAACCAGAAGCTTAAGGATAATCTTTGTACATATAACCGCTGAGGCGATTTTCGGCCGAACACCTCCTCCAATTTGTGGTTTTGCGTCTTGATGTTAGGCTTAGCTTAGCTTAGGTGTCTTAGTATAGGCTCCGAACGGCTGTTGATTTTTTTATGAGGAGCCTTTTATTTCATGTCCAAAATACACTCGGAGGGGTGGAGATTCCCTGCTGAGAGACGAACGCAATTAGGAAATTTAACTTAATTTTTTCTTTAAATTAATTTTCTATAACTTTATGGATGAACGATTTCAGCCCGAGCCGTCCGAATAGCAGTACACAATGCTAACCACTCGACTACCGCGGCCACCATTATAAACGCATATAATTTAATATTATGACCAAAGAAATCAGCTTATGTTTTCAAAATGATTTGGTGCAAATGACTCGAGCAAATTCCTGTTGAGAAGCCTAATTCTCGACCACTTTTTTCAGCAATTGGATCCATATGTCAGCAATAAAGCGCCTCATTTTCTCCTTCAAGGCGTCAATCGTTTCATGTCTATCTGCGTAGACAAGCATCATCACATAACCTCACAATGTTAAATCGCATGAGGCACCGCCACAATCACACGATGCCAGATAATGCGCTCAATAAAAGTTTCCTTCAATAAAATGATTATTTCGTTCGGGAACCAAAAATCGTTCACATAAATGTAGCCCAATTCAGGCCCAAAAACGTTCATTAATCATGACTCTATAGCATTTTGAAAAATCGATGAACCATCGATTCCCCTCGGCACGTCAAACAATGACTTCCTCAATGTTGTAACGGCTTCTCAATAAATACTTGTGGATTATCCTCAGACCAAACGCGACAATTTTGTTCACTAACGTACGTACCCTTTCCACCAAAAATGAACTTCATCACAGAACAAAATTAATTTCTTCATCCCTTCATTCATCAAATGTGCGACGCGCTTGATGGTCGTTCGGCTACTTTCAGTATTGCATGAGTTGAAGTTTATAAGAACGCAACCATTGATCCTTCCGCGTAATTTTCCATAAAGAGAATGGAGAGAGTTGCAATTGTTATCTGCGATGGCATATCAACACATTCGAGTCTTCTTCGATATTCTGCTATTGCTGTCTTCGGTGCGCACTGTACAGGGCACTTGAGCATGTGCATTATCCACTAGAGTGAAAGTGGTGTGAAGCGGATTCATGGTTGCTCGAATTACCGACTCTACTCAATCGTCGACCAAATAGTGAACGCAGTGCATGATGTGCCGCGCGAGCCGAACCATTATTTTGGTTATAAATTTTCACGATTTGCAAACGTTGTTCCGAACTAAGTCTGTTCTTATGAAGAGATAAACTGAACTGAGTATAAAACAAGTAACTTCAGTGAAAAGTGCACGTGCGAAAAAACACCCTTTTTATAATTGGAGTTTTTAAGGCGGAGGTCCTCCGCAAATTTGTGGTATGCGCGTTGATTATTTTCCAACAAATGGAAGGACCTATAGCCCATACTAAGCAGCCCCCAAATGGCTAATAGATTTTTTTGAGGAACTTTTCATTTCACATCAGAAATACACTCAATGGAGTTCACATTCGCAGCCGGTTGGCGGCCACAATTAGAAAAATAAATTTTCCATAATTTTGGGATTGCTCGGTCCAGATATATATATATATATATATATATATATATATATATAAATAAATAAACATTAAATTATATGGACCGTACTATCGATTCAAATAAAGATTTCATGCATTTTTCTGAATTTTACGTGATTTTTTTTTGAAAAACTTTCGTATAGCTCTTAAAAAATCACCCTTTATATTGTTTATTGTTGTAATGATATCGCACACGAAAGTTTTATGGTTTTAATAAAACTTTTGTTACTCATACGCCCACGTCACTCAAATGTACTCTAACTGAAGACATTTTTCTTGAATTATATGTTAATGTAAATATGTATATATATATGAATGTATATAAATTTTCCTCCATAATTGCATTGCTTTCTCCTCATTCAACTTCTTTTCAATATAAGCTTTTTCCTCAAATTCGCTACTTTGTAGCCTCAGTCGTTTGTCGATGACTGTAATCTTTGGCTTTGCATTATCTCTTTTGCATGGACATACATACATACATATACATGACTTTGTGCAAATGTGCGCCTTATTATTCATAACTAGATGAGAATGAATGCTATGAATTATTATTTAGTACACATTTCTTTTAGATTCAAATACATACATTTATTTATTATTTGCTGCTTATTCAGAAAAGTATCAGAGTCTTTCAGTCATCATTATCAAAAATGAGCTGTTTCTGATGTTAGAAATAGTACAGAAGTTTACTAATGTGTAGCAGGGAATCTAAAGAATTGCGTTAGTGAAAATATTGAGAATTTCGTTGATTAGTTTTTTAAGATTATTTAGTTTTGTCGTTGAATTTTTTTAATTCGCTTTGATGACCTAAAAATCTCTTCTCACATTTTTCTGCTGCAGGAAGAACTGTCGTCATTGTCTAATCTCAGGGAGAGAAACTAATATACGGGACTTTTTAATTTTTATTGAAGAGTAGAAGATCCATAAATGCGTTGTTTCCAAATATGTATGTTGGTTCCTGGTTCACTTCTCGGAATTTTGTTTTACAAACCTGTCTGATGTCGATAATTTTTAGCATCAATAAGTGGTTCATCACATTCAGGTTCTTAGAACTACCGTAGAACTAAATTAACTCAACTCATATTGATGGGTCTCTCTCTTTTTTTCTTACTTAGTATTGCTGTATGGGCAATCACGTCGTAACGTTTAACAGCGAGGTGCTCTAAACTTTTTCATGGATGAATCGAGGCGAAGTGAAACCAGCGGTAGAACCGGTATTTGATGTGCACTCGCATCTAGTTCTCAGATTACACTGGAAGATCATTTCAAGTAAGGACGCCGACTTTCACTGAGCCAGCCAGGTACCTATTGAGGCTCTGGATAGGCTTATAGTGTGTTCAATGTTAGTTAAAAGCTGTCTACCTATGTATAGCCGTCGACGTTTTTGATAAGACTGATTTTGCTGCAGATTCGCGCGAAGTAGTACTTATGAGTAGATTTCACGGGTAGATATTGCCTACAGCCGCAGGTGGGCTTCTTCTGAGCAAATTGACTTTACGTCTGCTTGACGAACGCTGGGGAAATATTATGACGGCGTGATTGCAAGATCCCTCTAACTTGTTTTGGCTTGAGCACTCTCACTCTCACTCTCATTGTTGGTCGGTTTCAGTGAAAACCATATTGCAAGAACTGCACGGTGGGTTGTGAGAAGTATTGCTGATGGCGAGATTCGTTTTTCCAGCACTACCGCCTTGGCTATTCCTCTTTTATGAGCTTGAGAAGAAATCACTTTAGTGCTCACATTCTCAACTTAACTATAGTGAGCTAACGAGTATTAAAGAGTGCCATGTTCGCGTTTGGTGATAGGTACTAAGCGTTTTGTTGAGTTGTAACGCATCTTTCGTCCATTATACACTTTTTTTGAGTTGGATCTAGTAACTTTTCACATAAAGTCAATAACGAATTTCATCGAGTCTTTTCGCGGGCGTTATTAGAAAGTGATACTAACGGAAGCGCAAAAACTTACTTTCATGCATCACTTTATTCTTGAGCTCAGTTACATTTGGGAGCAAAATCTAGAAGCTCTAAAGCTTTACGTAGCCAAAACTCTTATTTAAATGATGCCTTATAGTGAGATTGCTGTCTGCTGCAAGGCGAACGAAGTAAAGAAATCTCAGTACTTTCTTCTGCGCTGTTTTGCTTCCGGAAGTGTGGGCCTGCAATATATATCATTACAGCTCCCGATAGGTCATCGCAATGCTAGTGGACTCCTGATCCATAGAAGTATCAAACCTATCATCTCATGGAGCGAAGATCTGTCCAGCAGGTCCCACAAACTCGAATAGCTGAGGGTTAAAGCGTTTCGTTTCGTTGGAAATGAAAAAAAATTAGCAACCAAGCATACAAAGTTCTTTTTGAATTCGTTTTTTGTGCTTCATTGGAAGTGATTTTTAATATTTTTTTGGCTTGCGCTAAGTGTCTCGCAGCAACAAGTGCAATCTGCAGTCTTACACCCAAAAAAAAAGAAAATAAAAAAAATAAAAAAGATGAGAAAAAAGCAAAAACAATGAGTGTGAGAATGTGTGAAAAACGCAAATTAAGAATGCAAGATGGCGTGTGTGAGGCGATAATGTGTTGGCAGTTCGAAGTGGTGCAACAACAAAATGGTGCGAGAATTTTTCGCCAGTAAAGCAAGTAGACAATTTGTCGACTGCCGAGGCAAATAATAAACAAGACTAACGCTCGCTAATAAGAAACTAAAAGAGCTCAGTTTTATATTATATATATACTAAATATATAAACATACATACAATATTTACATACATATTACGTCAAGCAAAAGGTCAATCATTATTTTAGTAATTAATGGCTTAAGTGATCTGTCCATAATATAAAGAAAATCGTCGAGTCTGACCCTAATGCGAGCACTGTTTCGTTTGATCAGGCGCTGAATCGTTATAAAAGCGAACCATTTCTGAAGCGGACGGTGAATGGCGATGAAAAGTGGATCACTTACAACAACCTCA